CTTTTTTTTTTCGCACAAAAACAGCAACTTCAAGGTTGAGTCCGAGTTCGCCGGCAAGGTCACATTTGAATTCGTCGAGCTCTCGTCCATGGTTCCGATCCAGCTTAACTCCATACCACTGGCTACTGTTTTCCTTCTGCCCCTTCTGTATTTCAAGCTGATTTTCAACTGGGAATAGAAGCTGCTTTCTGTTGTTTCTGCCATTGATCCTGCTAGACTTCATTTTTTCCGTTTGTCCAGCCTTTATGTGGCTACCTCAAGGCTTATTATCAAACTCCTCGGTACATTATCTCAAACCTGTACTTTCTCTTTGATTAATGGTAAATTTCAGGACTTGTTTCGGGCTCATTTGTTACTAGTGTCTGTTACCTCAATTTTGTTTGAGCATAAGTGGGTTGTCCACAGGTTCGGTAGAGATATGATATTTGTTTATTGGAATCTAATTTTGTGACTATTTTGTGAGTTTGATTTGAAATGGTGTCGAAACGCTTGGTTTAGCTAATACTTAAAACGGGCTATAGATTTAAACAATAATCGTGAAATAAATTCTATGATTTGTTGAACAATCTGTGAATATCAAATGTTATTGTTGAGGTATATATTGTTGACATGTCTGAAGCTAATTGTCAGATTTAGAAACAAAATATGCATATGGTACCTCTGCAAGTCTGGTTGCTGTTTTAACATGATTTCCTAGTTAATCAACTTGAGAAAATCTTATGTCCGTATGTGTGTGAGGAAATAGTGTGTGTAATAGGAAGGAAATAGTAGATTAAAATAAGTCTTATTTTGCTGAAAACATTGTTGCCTAACTCATGAACATTGTAGAAATACCTTTAGGCGCATCATCGTGATTATGTACACGTTCGCGTGACATAATTATGATTTTTCAAAATAAATCAGAGTACGCGTTCGCGCTACTTTGACAAGACTATCTTAAATTAATAAGTGTGACTGATTGTGTATACATTCGCGTGACATAATTTTAGCGCCCCAAATAAAGCGGATTTACACACATGTCATCCACTTCAACGATTAAATCCATAAAGCGCCATAATTAAAAAGCGGTAAAAGGTAAAATGTACATAGGTTCTAAAATGAGTAATTAAACAATTTGATTAAGCCAGGTATGATTAAAGTGATCGTGCTAAAATCGCGGAATCCGGGAATGCCTAACACCTTCTCCCGGATTAACAAAATTCCTTACTCGGTCTTCTGGTTTCGCAGACCGTAAATAAGAGTTCAATTTCTTCGATTTGGGATTTAAAATAAACCGGTGACTTGGGACACCATAAATTATTCCAAGTGGCGATTCTGAAATTAAATAAATAATCCCATTTCGATTAATGTTACTTTATTTAAAAAAATTCCCTATCCTCTCAAGAAAAAGAAAGTGTAACAATAACTACTAAACAATAGTGATTTCTGAAAATTCCTCAATTAGTTCTTTAAGAGAACACTAAATCCCTCAGAGAATATTGTGGAGAATCCGAGCCTAACTTCATGTGAAATATTTTGTGGAAAAACTCAAGTATCCAGGTACTATATCTAAGTCCCCACAGTAGTATATTTTATATTGATGAGTAATATAGTGGGGTTATGAATTATATTCTTATAGTAATAATAATGATGGCACAGTAATATCTCAAAGATTAGTAGTATTGAAAGTTACTGGAATGAAATTTTGGTGAAATACAGTATCATTTTCTATTATTCCTTTAAAGTAAGAGACAAGAATGATGATATCATTATTTATTAGCTTTTTAACGAACACACATGAGATGGAATTGTGGAAACGAGGATTTAGTACACTGTTGGGGGAAATTGAACCTACTTATGAAGCTACAGTATTGGATTTTTATCATTTAGTACATAACATACTAAAATTATTTTATAAGTTGTTTGATGGTGTGATACGGATGTGAGCATGAGGTTGTAATTTGATGGTTTGATACGGCTGTGAGCCATGATGTTGGGGTATTGTGTATGCCTTTGTATATCACTCGAACATTATGTATGCTTCTTGATATATATTTCGGGCATTGTGTATGCTTTGGTGAGAATTTTGTATGCTCCGTTAAATATTTGAGGCATTGTGGTGCCGTTGTGGACTCGTAAAGGTGTTGGTTAATTTCTTACACTACAGTTATGACAAGTCCTTTGTGTGTCTGCGATAAGATATGTGTATTTTTGTTGGTTAATTCTTATTAACTCCGTTGATACATATTTAGTGAGTTTTTGTATAATCATCGTATTTATTATATCGTTCTTGTTGTGGTGTGTTTGTATTTTCTAACACTTGTTCCAAAAGTATTTAAAGTGGCGGGTCGAGGATCTTACAGTGTTATATTTATGTATAACTCACTCCTTATCTGCATCTTTATGCAGATACCGTTGCGGGAGATAGAGCTAGTGGCTGACGAGTTTGTTATAGTAGAGCCTATTGCTGAGATGAGCCACTGCTTTGTTTGTGGAGATTTTCGTTTTAGCTTTATCTAGTTCGTGTTAATTATTTCCTTTTTTTAGGGTTTGCATACCCGTCAGTAAAACTTATATTACTCTGTTAGATGCTCTATGGTATTAGAGTGGGACTTGTGCTAGAATTTTATTATTTGAGTGATTGTTGGTTTTTCTATCAATTGACTAAGGTATTAGGTGATAACTACTTCGTCTCTAATTATTAATAATTCTTTTAGGCCTGCTCTTATTTTTCTCCCTGTGTTTGTTCAAATGGTTAAACATTTGAGAAATATGTTCGTCTGGCAGGTGATATTAGTTGGGTGTCACTCACATCTAGGGATAGTTTGAGACTTGACATCACCAACCAACCAAAATAAAAGGTTACTGAACGACCTAAACTTTCTGGCAGTAGATTACAAAGGAGATCAAGTCTGCCTACTCAAAATCAAGAATGTTAATAATGGTGTAAATAAACAATTCTCTTCCCTCCTTTTAAATTATAACTAGATGCGATTGGCCCGTGCAAGCACGGGCCCAACACTTTAAGTTAGTAAAAATAGTACGGTTAGCCAGTTTTCGGATTGGTCATTCAAAATAGCCAGTGTTTGCAAAGTTATTGAAAAATAGTCACTATTTTGCTGGAAGTTCATACACAGGTGCACCGATTTCCAGTATATTATGCTGGAGTATTTTCCGGATTTTGAACAGTATTTTCGTTCAGATTTATCTTTACATGAAAAGTGGCTAAATTTCGGTTACTTTTAAAACTGTGGCTATTTTTGAATGACCACTTATAAATCTGACTATTTTTGAATTTCTCTATTTATGTTATAGCGTAGTGTATTTGGACAAATATTGCTTATCAACATACAAAGTAAAGTACAATATTCAGCGGAAGACCATATCATTTGCAGCATAGTAACAAGCTAAAACATGTATTTGCCGTTCCTGTATCCAGGTTTATCCCTAATGCTTTCACAAGTCTCTCTTTGAAATGAAGAGAAGGCACGGCATCAACTCAAAGTGATTCTTGTTTCACTTTGATGTGTCAGCAAATTGGCTCTCCAATATTAAAGTTACTATAAAATATGCAAGTTTAGCTTGACTTAAGCTAAGCCAGGGGTATTTTTTTAGCTAGTCAGAAACAGGTATGTTAGAGCAGGAATGAAGGTGATATTTGGGATTACATTTTCCATCATGCGATACAAGCTGAATTAAAAATGGAAAGTACATAGTATTCCAATGCGGAAGAACTGTTCCTGAATAAATTCCATAAAGATGATAATCGAGAAAGCTTTAAAGAGAAGAGGAGAAGATTTTTATTGATCCGTCACAAACTCAATGTCTTTACAATCAACTAATTATTATTTATACAAAGGGCAGAAGAGGAAAAGAAGTTGTCAAAACTAACTTCTGGAATCAGTTGCCAATCATGTGCCTAATAATGTAGACCCAATCCCCGACCTTGCAACTCTTATTAGTTATTCCCTTGTCACCCTGAATTATAGCTTTTTCTTAAACTATAGATGTTCTTAAGGTAAACAACTTTCAGAGTTTAGAATTAAAAAGAAAAAATAAATAGAAAACTCTCGCTTATCCTGCCAAGCTATTTCTACAATTATGATTCTTGTCCTTTTGGGCTCGCACCATAATTACAGGACATAATGAAGTATTGTGTTAATTCTTTTCAGCTACATTGCTCATACTCTCCAAAATGCCGTATCCTTTAAAAATACACTACTTTTGGAGGATCTGACACTCACTTGATGACATTTTCGGACAGTCCGAATAACATAAAGCACGAGTACTGAGGTACCTTATTCAAATGAACTAATTGTAGCTGATGTAAAACACTTACTAGACGGGACCGTCGGTCCAAAGCATTTGTAGAAAACTGCCCAATCACGAATACCCGTCATGTGGGGCAACACGCGAGCCACCCAGTCTTCAATACCAAAGACAGGGGAGGGTGCACGCCTCTCCGCTAAAAAAAACAAAAACAAAAAAGCCACAAATGAGTGGAAAACAAAAGGACGAAAAAAAGGCCAAGCGNAAGGAAATTTCTACGCAATATTTTGCTTGAAAACATAAGTCATTGATTTTCAAACTGTTGACGTAACATTGCTAATAACATTATTTTATGGAGAAGTATTGTAATGAAAAAGACATGAAAACTGAAATGCTCTTTGCTTTTTCTTTATCAGTTTGTGAGAAAACTCCATGAAGTTACTCTCAAAGACACTCCTTTACTTTGCACCTTTTGAAGAGAAACTGAACAACAACTGCCTTTTGTATGCATTTCTTATATGTTATAAGGGTCTCAGCTTAGAATGAACATTAATTTTGGTTTTTAGGTATTTAAGCAACAATCTAGAGCAATTTAATTTTAGTTTGAATCAAATAGTTTGAGTAATAAGAAAAGTGGTCAGCACATTTTAATATAGCAGTAGACATGCTGACGTAAACTAAAATTACTTTTTTGAAGGAAAAATATGAAATACCTTCTTTTCTCATTATCTCCTATTTTGGTACAAAGAAAGTGATGTGTTGTGAATAATAGAGTAAAGAATATTTTACTTTCTGAAGGAACAAAAACTAATTTCTCTTTTCCTTTTTTTTTTAGGGTGTGGAGGGGGGATGTTCAGAATTATTATTACATTGGTTACAAAAAGCAAAATCATACACTGAAACTTCGCCCATAGCACGATTCCAGTAATTCAAATTGAGAATAGAGAGCAAAAGAAAGAGCTGTGCTTCTCTTGATGAGCAGAACATATGAAATGCGTATTCAAGTGTGAGAAGTATGTGTACTCATCTGAAGTAACATGAACTGCTAAAAATGCAGCTAAAGCAACTATACGTTTTTAAGTTCAAACCAAGTAAGGAAAGCCTGAAAGGCCATCAGCTGTCATGTAGAAGAGCATAGGTGGTTCAGTCTTATACTTTTGAGCATATTATTACTAAAATGTCAGAGCGTTACCTTTTTTCCTTGATGAATATTTCAGTTATACTGCAACTGCAAATATTCCAGCTAATCCATCTGCCCACAAATACAATTAAGTCCTATTATTAGGAACAATAATGCAATTATTAGATGTAAATTCCAAATAAGCATATCAAGAAAATATTTCCTTCCATTCAATCTCAAAATTGTTATAAAGTTATCACATACTACTCATGAACTCAAAAGAAAGAATTATATCTTATCAAGCAAATTGTTGTAAGCATATGATGAGATTTAAGTCCATGCTTCTGAGCTCTCCAAATATTTAGGTGGTACTTGTATTCGCCCTCTTTTATCAGTAACATCTTTGTCAATATTTTACTATTGTTGAGTGCTAGTATAACATCAAGTTTCAAAGAAAATAAAGAAGCTTTTGAAAGATTATGAAGTTTCTTCATTACTGTAGTAACTACACAAAACAAATTTAAATCATCATAATTTCAAGAAATACATGTTCTTCAAAAAAGCTACATAGAAAACTAATAAGTTTGACAACCATTTGTTTGTAGAAAATCTGGATAGCACTCCACAGGTTGAACTCACTTGAGTACAGGGAGAAAATGAAGAGAGTTATTAGCACAACTTATGCTTCCTCGATCAGTCTCATATCTAAAGTATGGACATAGTTAAATATACCAATAAGCAAGAGGCAATTGCAATTACTTGTACGCAAATCATATCAGGATTTAATCCAAAGAGTACTTCACAAATAGTTTTTCTACAATGGTCAATGTCTCTCTTTTTTTTTTTTATGGTAAGTGCATGTAAATATCGTGCTTCCTATGCACGACAATCCTTAGAAAAGAATATCAATGAGATTTCAAGTGCCCCTCCTCCTTTCTATGATGCTAGTGAAAAGTACATATTTTGAAGAATAGACTTCATTTATTCAAATATCAACATTCTTCTAAGCAAAACGAAGGTATATTCTTGAGTTCTCTTTTAAGTCTGTCTTCCACGAACAATCAGTGCAAATCATCATGGAAGCTAACAATCTTTTCATCCCTTAATATCTTGATTCTCATCTCACCCTCTTTGTGTGCAAAACTAAAGTTCAGAAGGCAATTTTACAAACACCTAGTAGGCAAACTGAAAGCAGAGCTGCCTAAGAAAAAAAAATTGAAATCTAGCAAATAATTGGTGATTCCTTAGACTTATTAAACCCAGAAGTAACACACGAAGAAGAAGAAGAGAAGTAATTACCTCCAAACACAGCGATCAAATCTTAGAGGTAGAGCAAATTCAAGAGAGACCCCAATTGAGAAACAGAGAAAATTTTAAGAAAAAGAAATACAAACTCAGAGAATTCAAATTCGAACAAAAGATGAATCTTTAGGAATCAGAAGCATCAATTTTGATACCTGGTGAAGGGGTTACTCCACAACAAGAGAAGATGGGCGTGAACACTACAGGGAATACACGAAAATAATAATCTGAATCACAAAGAAGAAAAGCAGATGAGACTTTTATGCAATTTGGGAAAACTCTCTCTCCAAAGTACAACATGTGCAATATAAAGTATAACTTATTGCTGAGTAAGATAAATTAAAAATTAAGTTGAAATGGCAAAAGTTCCCCTGAGTAAGCTGGCATGACGACTCTCAGCTGCTTCCAAGCGGCTTCTATATATGAAGAATATTATTAATAATCAAAAGTACATGTGAGATTAAACCTCCACTTTTGTAAACCTAATACATCACGGTTAATCAAACTGTTCACTATACAAATAGTTTTTGTTTGCCAAAAGGAATTAATTTTCACCAAAGAACTTAGAAAAGGACTTCAAACTTTCTGATTGCCCGTAAAAGGAGTCTAACCTTCAAAACTTAACCAATTTGCACGCCATTGTTGCGGCAGTGAACAGGAAATGTGACAACCCAAAGGATCATTATTTGTTTTAGAACTCGAATTCGGGTTCCGAGACCTTGAAAACTTTATTTTCTTTTTTTTCGATTTGCGTGCACAGTCTGGACGCAAAGAGGCCCAGGCTTGCATTGTTCGCATTTGTGAACATTCCTTCGCAATTGCGAAGTCAACAGGGAGGGCCAATGATCGCAATTGCGACAAATTGCTCGCAATTGCGAGAGGAGCAGACATGCAGCAGGTTCGCAATTGCGAAGCCTGTCTCGCATATGCAAGCTTCGCAATTGCGAAGCTCCTGTCGCAATTGCGACATCTGCACCTGATCAAAATATTATTTGGACGGGATTTTTACTTCATTCTTCAAAATTTTAAAACCTAAACTCCAAAGGGCGATTTTCCTAGAGCAAGTTCTTCCCCAAATCATAGGTAAATGAATCTTAACTCTTTTTCTTCAATCTATTTCATCTTTTTACATGATTTCACTTCATAATCTAGGGGTTTTCATGGGAAGTTGGGTGTTCTTGGGTAGAAATTAGTATTTTCGAATTTTGGGGATTTGGACCTCAATTTGAGGTTAGATTTCAAAACCAATTGCATATTTGAGTTTGTGGGTGAATGGGTAATCGGATTTTGGTTCGAACTTCGAGTTTCGATTAAGCGGGCCCGGGGTCAGTTGTTAACTTTTTGGGGAAAACATTGGGAATCTATACTCATGCATTAGAATTGGTTTCTTTAGCATTTATTGATGTTATTAAGTTAATTACGGCTAGATACAAGTGAATTGGTGGTGAAATCGAGAGGTAAACCGGTGGTTGAGCTTTGAAATACCCGTTGGCTTGAGGTAAGTGTTTGTTCTAACCTTGACTTGAGGGACTAGGGATCCCCGTCTTGTTTGCTATGTGAAATATCATGCGTGTGACGTATAGGTGCGGTGACGAGTACGTATGCGTCACCAAATTACTTGTTTAGCCCATTTCCTTTCTCCGTTTCCCTATATCTTGCTTTCCCGCCTTAATTGCTACTTGCTCATAAATGTTTCCGTGTCTAATTGCTTCATGTATACTGTTGTTCTCTTTATTAAATTGTTTAATTGTTTCATGTTAACTGTTGATGTTCCCGTTGAAGTATTATTGATTTTGTAGCTTCATTTTATTACCATGTTGGCTTATATTGATTCATTGGTGCCTTATGGTGCACCTTGGTTGGTCTCGCTGAGTAGTTTTCATTGGTGAAGTTTCGTAATCGTAGTGATATTTCATTGTGTGGATTGAGGTATAAGTAATGTAAGGGAGTTGAGTTAGCTTGTGAAACTCCTGTCTTTATTCTTTTGTGTTTGGTGCTATATATATATTGAGATCGGGTTGCGCACCGCAATATGAGGAATAAAGGTGATATGTGTTGAGGAGTAATAAGGGTGGACATGTGGGATCGGGTTGCACGCCGCAACAAGGAGGAATAAGGGTGAATATTGATCGTGTTGTTGTTTATATGATTGGATCGGGATACACGCCGCATCAGTTGTTCTTTTAAGTATTCATTTCTGCTGAAATTCATTACTGTGATGTTGAAATGCCCTTAAGGATTGGTTATAGCTGAATACTAGTAGAACAACTGGTTCCGGATTTACTTTATGCCAGTTATTGCTTTAATACATTCTGTATTTCCTTTCTGTTTAGTGTAGATTGTTGCAGGTTGTATATGTTGTATGCCCCGCCGTAGCCTCGTCACTACTTCGTTGAGGTTAGGCTCAGCAGTTACTAGTACATGGGGTCTATTGTGCTGATACTACACTCTGCACTTCTTGTGCAGATTTTGGAGCTAGTGGCTGATCGCGAGGTTGGTTACTGTTGCTGTTTCTCGGAGACCCAAGGTAATCCTGCAGGCGTCCACAGGCCCTAGCGTCCCCTTCTATCTTATTTTATTTTTTTAATCTATTTTCGAGACAGATGTAAACTTTTGTTCAGACCCTTATTTGTAGTATTCGTAGACTGTTCGCGAGTTGTGACACCAGTTCTGGGTGGAATTTATTACGGGTTTGTTATTAGTACAAAACTTAATTCCGCTTATTTACTTTTGTTGAGCTTTAATTATTATAAGATAAAAGAAAAAGGTGAATTATTCAGTAACATTGGCTTGCCTAGCGAGTACAATGTTAGGTGCCATCACGGTCCAGACGGTGGGAAATTCGGGTCGTGACAGGAAATTCTCCATCATTCTTTTTATTGTTAATTGTACCAAAACATAAAGAATAATGAAAATCAAAGACCTAAAACACTTTCTTTGATGTCATTGATGCTCCTTCTAGCTAGGAGGTGGGTTCTCCGGTGTTGAAATTACCGAGCCATTGATGCTCATCATAATCTCCCCCTTGTCAGGGATGTGTTGGATATGCTGGAGGGCGCACAGGTAAATGTGTACCTAAACTTACTTGGTATAAATTCACTTGTGTTGCGCATACTCACTTTTATGTTCTTATTGATAGTTCATCTGGACGCCATATAGCGACAACTTGATAGGTGGCCTACCCGATTATTGCTCGGTCAGCCGACTGATTTGGAGGACTTCCGTCCCGCTGATGTGCCTCGATATTATGGAGCATCATGCCATAGAGCGGTTACTTTTCCAGTTCGGCCGTCCGCAGACTGTACCGAGGGGGCCTACATGGGAGGCTGCACGTTATCAGTGGGATGATCGTTCGAGGGCGGACGACACATTTGTAGCATGGTAAGAGGCGCAGGTCTATACTTGGGACCAACGAGCTGACTTGATTCCGCCCCCACCTTCACAGATCGAGACAGCGACTATTCAACGCTATACGTCCTGGTCCGCCGCGTTATCCGACTTTTTATCGAGAACCCCGTTCATCAAGCTGGCGGTCGGTACAGACCATACGCCGGGAGGCACGAGGCACTGGTATGTTATTTGGTATTCTTACTTATAACTGTGATATAGCGTTCTGTAATTAATATTTTAAATGTTGTGCAGGCTATTGGTCATCATTTATTCTACCAGTTGGGACTGCAGATGCAGCAGCATGCTGGCGATCCTGCGGTCGCTGAGTATGGTCGGCAGGTGACAGAGTTGGCTCTCCGGACACTGTAGCGAGCCAGACAGGGTGAGCGGTTAGATCAAGATCCTAATTATGTGGCGCCAGAGCACCACTATCGGAGTAGGCCTGTCGCACGCCTGAGGGGACGGGCACGAGCCAGGGCTGCCCCACGAGGTAGGGCTATCCCACGAGGCAGGGGTGCCCCACGGGGTCGTGGGGAACGACGAGGAGGTGGTCCCCAACAAGGGGGCGTTGAGGCACCTGTTGAGGCACCTAATGAGGAGGTTGAAGCTGATCTGTCGGGTGACATTCCTCAGCCAGACGAGCATCCCAGCAGCATGCCGTCGTACAGCCTTCAGCTAGAGCTGCCAGCATCGCAGGTGACCCCGTCAGACCCATTGTTGATTACGGGCACGAGCTTCACGGGACACGATTGGGAGCAGTTCTTTCGAGGCCCATTGATCGCAGCTGAGGATCCGCCGACCCGAGAGGTGGATGGTGTGCCCAGGTTGAGTTTTGGCTCATCGTCGTCGGGTGGTGTGGATCTATCACAGGCGCAGGTATGTTTGTATTACTATTAAATTTAAATTTGTTTTTTTCTCATTGATTCGCCATAAATTAATTTTTAATTTTCTTATTAAGGCTACATCACAGCCCGTCACGGAGGCCACTTTATGTGATGCTGAGGACATCACGGATGCTAATATTCCGGAGCCCGACGAGACCATGGTAAGAAAATATTTTTGACTTAACACGTACATTACTAATATACATTTTCATATAATGAGCTTACTTATTGTTTTGTAGGTTGCTGATGGACAGATGACCCCTTCTACCGATCCTGCCAGCCCTACTAATGATCATACTGCAGCGCATCCTCATATAAAGAGGCGACATGATGAGGATGATCCTGATAGTGTATTCGGGCGGGAGGGGATACACGTCAGGCCAGCGGCTGCATTGAAGCACAAAGGTTGTGGGACACATTGATTTTCTTTTTTTTGTATTTTATGTAAATAATAAATTATGTAAATAATAACAATAATTTTTATGTTACATAATATGCGCATTATGTTTTTATTACCTCGTATCTTCTTTATTTTAACAGCACAACACAAACACAAACATAGAAACTTAACATAACTTAAATTCAGTACAACTAATGAAAACACATGACACGGGAAACATAAAGATACACTACTACGCTCAACACATACATATCATTGTTTAGTCACCACCGCCTAGTATTCTCTGCTCCAACCACTTAAATTTTTCTACCAGCTTATTTTTTTCTTCTTCCACCTCTTTGAGTTTCTCCTTCATCTCCGTAACTTCTCGTTTGTATTGTCCCTCTCTTTCCCACTGTTTCAAGGTCAAATAATGAAGATACTGCAACTTTTCTTTGTAGTATTCCTACTGACAGGGTTCAACAATCCATACCTCAAAATTGCAAACAGGTTCGCCAGGAACCCTATAAAACTTGTTCATACACACCCAGTAGCGGCGTCCAGCTGCACCACCATCCCAACAGTCTTGCATCATGCATTTTTTTCCGCACTCGCACCTTGGTACATAAAGGGGTTCAGACATTTGTTAAAGCGTAAAATAAAACCTTGCCTTTATGGAAATATTTGCTATTGGATATTGTTAAGCGCAGAAAATAACTAGAATGCAGCCGTTATTTATAGGCAAGGAAACACACAAAACGCAGTATTCAACCGCGCTATACATATTAACTTTTTCTGTAACGAAACATCTTTTTTCGCAGACGGTCGGCTTTTCAGACCGACAAGACAACACACAAAATACAGTACTCAACTGCGCTATACATATTAACTTTTTCTGAAATGAAACAGGTTTTCCGTAGACGGTCAGCTTTTCAGACCGACATGACAACATACAAAACGCAGTATTCAACCGCGCTATAC